GAGTAGTATTAAATTCAATATGGCCGCCAGGGGAGCGCTTTTTGAAGTTTAACTTTCTGCTAGCTGGGCAAAAATGTAATGAAGAAAATTAAACTTAAAATTAAAAAATAGGAAAAATATTTGACTAGTTTTAAATCATAAAACAACCATATTTACTGTTTTATGATGTGAAACTAGACAAATAATTAAATTCCGTAACGAAAATAAACCTAACACCCCCACTTCGACCGGCACAGCGGCGCGGCATTGAAAGCCGTGCATCGTCTAACGTCGTTTCAGTTCGGCAGACTTCGGCACGGTGTTTGTGTACGTGCGACTAGACGTATGCGTGTAGACTAGCTGCTAACTGCTCATAACTGATTCTATCTCTTTTAGACACAATTTCGAAAAAATTGAATTTGAAAATGAATAATGATCCACAAGAATCCACAACAAAATATGGGACAACCATTGACGCGGTATTTTCCAGATATTTAGAGGATATCAAGTCTCAAACTTATGTTTCTTATTTCAGTTACCATAAACCTATAGTTTTAATGATAAAAATTCCTGAATAACCTACATGTATTGTAAGATAATAAAAATATTTTAAACAATATTAACTTCTCATTATTTAATAAAAGAAAAAAATTGTTTTCTTATCGGTCACCACGCTTAAAAAGTGTAACTTAAATTAATATCAAAGAAAAAAAATGCTGCATAAATAAATAATTATAATTATTGCATAAGTTGATAAAAAATGCTATGCAATAGCTTTACCGCGGCAGTGCCCAAGTGCCACACGTATTTTTATTATTAAAATAAATTAACGCCGCATCATATAATTTGTCTATTTAAACAAATATGCATTTATACCATTTAAATAAATATTTATAAAACAAACCTATCACCAATGTTTTCTGTAACAAAATCAGCATGTATAGTGCTCAAGACCTTTATAAAAGTTTTACGACTTTGAGTGGCAAATAAGTTTGAAAAAATTAAAGTTGAAGCATCATCCTTTTGGTGTCTTACTATCAAGGCGAATTTGAGTGTGGATAAAATTTGTCATACGCTTGTTGAGTCGACTAGTTAGGTTCAGGAGCATGTCTTCATTCGATGTTTTATTGATTTATTTGTACAGCAATTATTGTAGTTTATTAAATTCTTATTCATCATCTGGGCACTGTGATAAATGAATTTAGCTTTCGAGCTTAAATTAAACTTACACACGTTTGGACCCTTGAAGATTGATGTCAAATGAATTAAATCAATTTTTGTTATTGATGGCTGAGGCTCACATATTTCATCGATTTACAGGGTATTTTGGAGGGCCAACATTTTCTTTACAGTAACAATGATCATTTAAAAACTGAAAACAAAAAGAAATTAAAATAACAAACCAATTATTTTAACACTAAATCAATAACAAATGTGTAAATATTACTTACCATTGGTGCCAAACAGTGAAAGGCGCATTTTTCTTAGGACACTTATTACATATTGTTTGGTTATCCTTAATATGACGCCCGCATATTTAATATATGGCATAAATTGCATCACTACCAATATCTGGGAGTTCTTTATTGTTCGTTGCTGAAATCTATCTTCCCATCTTTTGAAAACATACTTAAAATTGGAAGGTATTGAAAGATAAATCTATATGAAACAAAATTCAATACACCTTCAACATTCAACAGCCATTTTAATTTTTCTAAGTGTGAACTGTTTGAAGTTTTGCTTTAATTGGAGTGGTACTAAATTACCTTCCTCATGTTTTCTATATGAGTTACCAGCCCCTGACACTGACAATCAGCTAGTACTTGGTCAACGTCATTACAAACGTAACAAAGAGTAGAAATTTAAGGAATATTAACAAATAGTTGTTGTTTTATCAATTACAATCAGAAGATTGTAACAATATTTTTTATTTGGAAGATAGATAAAAATGAAATGATAATATTTTACAAATATATTTCTAAATATATTTGATGATCTGGCACCGCTTAATGATTTTAAAACTAAAAATCCTAAACCTCCTTGGCCTACCGATAACATTAAACTCGTGATTAAATTATGCAATAAATCCAAACCTTTGGGATTACCGTAAAAATCAGTAATGAAAAAAGCGATATCTTCAAATACTTGCTAATAATAGTAAAGGAAAAAATTAAACGATCTTAATGTCATCTAGAACCTAAAAATAATACACTTCCTAATAATTTGTTTGTACAAACCAAATACTATTAATAATCATTTTTTATTATCTTCTGCAAATGTACAGTTCCTACCAGATAATGAATTATTACACTTTTATCATATAAATATGAAAGCTATTATTACCAATTTATTTGAATTTATATTAATATATAATTTCTTTGGAACGCCCCAAATAAATTATAAAAATATCCCTCCGAAATAATGAAAAATATTTTTGAAGTCTCAGAGTGAAAACAAATTTAATGAAAAATTGCTAAATTGCCTTAACCATTAATAAATCGGGATATTACATTAATAGATGAAAATATTGTATATAAATATTTGCAGGATATTAAATTTAATGCTGTCAGTTCAGATCATCCGCAATTAAAAATGCCGTTATGTTTCTCTTATACAGAGTGGCCCAAAAGTCTGGAAACGGCCAATTATTTCGTAAACTGCTAGTCCTAATTGAACAAAATTTGGGATACACTTATTTTGGGACACGGAGATTTCATATTTGATATGGTATTTGCAATGTTGCCAGATTTGCCGTTTCTCTTAAATTATTAGTCACTTTGGTTTTTCAAATTAATCACCCTGTATATTCAGTCATTATTAGAATCTCCTATTCAATACGAGTTCAACCATATGTAACACTTATGATTTTATGTAGTCTGGAAGGTCTTAAATAAATAAGTCTGGCAACGCCTAACATTAAAACGTAACAATTGAAAGATTATAACATTTTTAACATAATGGTTACTTTATCAAGTGTTCAAAATGTGCTCCATTTGTGAGTTGACAGTACCCTAATCGATGGTAGAATGCTTCTACCACATTTCTTCATGATTGTTTTATTTATTTAAGACCTTCCAGACAACATAAAATCATAAGTGTTACATATGGTTGAACTCGTATTGAATACGAGATTCCAATAATGATTGAATATACAGGGTGATGAATTTGAAAAATGAAAGTGACTAATAATATAAGAGAAACGGAAAATCTGGCAACATTGCAAATATCAAATCTGAAATCTCCGTGTCCCAAAATAGGTGTATCCCAAATTTTGTACAATTAGGATTAGTAATTTACGAGATAATTTTCCAGACTTTTGGGCCACTCCGTATATTGCCCTTATATGACACACAATATACATTTTTATTTAAGGAATAATACTTTTCCACAACAATGGAAAGATTCTAAAGTTATTATTTCACCTAAAAATAAAAGTATAAGCAGTTTCAGTAAATTAAGACCCATTGCCATTGTACCTGTATTCCGTATTATCGAAAATTCTTAAAAAAATTATTAAATTTTACCTTAATTTACATATGAACTAGAATGAAGATATGTAATGCTTGGCATTCTATATTATACTCTTTACAATTTAAAAGACCCCTTAACTCCCATTTTCAATCAGTTTTTTTCATCTCCTTATAAAGCTTGATTTTTCCTGGAAATTTCAGGTTTATATCGTTTTTGCTTTCATGTTTTATCTACTCATTTTTATTTATTCATTAAGTCCCTTATAGAGCTTGATTTTTTACTAAACATATCGCTTTTGGTTTTTTATTTCAATTTTTTTTATTTCAACCTCCCTTAGCCTCCATTTTATTCAGTTTTTTTTTTTTAATTTGTATAGAGCTTAATTTTTGCCAAAAATTTCAAGTTGATATCAATGAAGTCCTCTGACTGCCCTTCAAGAAAATACCAACAAGTATGAGGTTATACCGGGTATTTTGGAAGTTTAAAAAAATTTCGAATTATCACTGTTCTTGGGATATCACTACTGATTACTCCAAAGGTTTTATATCAATCACTAAATTTTGTTAGCTATTTTAAAGTATATAATATGTTTTTCTAATGATGTCACAACTGTTTTGGAAACTATCTGTGTGGTGTCAGTTTGTCGAGACTAGTGTGGGTAGGTCGGATAATAAATCTTTCTCACGTGAAATGCCTCAAGGATCTATTTTAGGACCAATATTGTTTTAATTTTACACGTGAAGCATTCATAATGACCTAAGTCATTGCAAGTATTATATGTAAGCAGGAAATACTCTTTTTTTAAAGTTCAGAGACCCAGCATGCCAGTTTACAAATTATTAGTGACCTTAGTTACATATCTCTACCATCACGTCGTACCAGTATGTTGGAAAAGTTTTTTTTTAAATATTTACAAGCTATACAATGGCGTTTTCTAGATTATTAAACAATTTGGAATCGGCATTCTCTCAAAAGAATATAAACTAATTTTATATAATTTTTTTCTCTCTAATAGCTATTTATGAAACCAGTTACGGAACGTGAATATTGCGGGACGAGTTCCGCAACATGAACGAGTTAAATAAAACGGCATTTCGTAACATGTTAGTTGCATATGCATCATTTTATTGACAAATAGAACAATATTAATTATTTACGACTTATAGTGTGTTTATATGGCTTATTAAAGTTATTTAGTATTCAAAAAAGTGGGTTATTTTGTCGTGTATCGTGTTTTAATTATTTTCTGCTGATTTAGAATGGAAAATAAGAACCAAATCAACTTTATTACTAGGTTGTAAGCCAACCTGCCCTTCTTTGATATAAACTTTCAATAATAATGTATATTATTGATTTTCACAACTGGTGCACAATGAATTTTTCGGAACCAGTTTGATAATGTTCAACATTACGCAACTGGTTGCATAAAATGGATCATTTTGACACTTGCTGCGTTTATAAAAATTGTCACTTTATATGTCAAAATTAGAAAAAATAATTTAAATAGTGTCTTATATTTCATTTCGTTTATTTTTATTTTTGTTTGCTAGGTCCGACACTTTGAATCAGTTTTTACTGTAGCCGATACTATTTTGCAGTTATTGTAAGTACAATTTTTTTTTATTTCTTTTATTATGTATCTATTTTTTTTAATGGAGCTACAGATAAAGAGTATTATAAATAAACTAGTGGTCAATTTATAACATTACGATGTTATTAGTAACGCATTCGTTGTTACAATTTCGTAAACCTTCATTGTATTTATTTCTACGGTTCTTAATGTTTTCCAATTTTTTCTTCTCCCCTTTTTTTTTCTACCGCTAGCTTGGCCCTCCTCTTTTATTTATTTGGTGTCCCATTAACGCTATTGAAATTGAAAACACGAGTGAATAAAGATGTCATGTCACAAAAAGATTATTTCGAGAAATAAAGTTTTACAATTGCATTATGATGTATGGCTCATGATTCCTTCCTATCTGATGAAAAGCGGTTATTTATCAAAATTCGTTATTTATCAAAATTGGAAATCAGAACAATCACAAACAAAAGATATAGTATAATTTAAGTATATTAGGCCATAAAAATATTTTTTTTAAAAAATGTGACATGACTCCTTTATTTATTTGTGTCTTCAATAATTTTTTGTTGCGACATAAAGAATATACCGTCTCTTTAAATGGACGGACGCCAATTGAGCACTTTATTACCCTCAGGTAAAATTGATACCGTAGCCGGACACGCCAATTGAGCACTTTATTACCCTCAGGTAAAATTGATACCGTAGCCGGACACGCCAATTGAGCGCCAAGGACCAAACAGAGACCGGCCAATTGAGCACTTTATGACTAGCCAATTGCGCACTTTATTACTAGTTTGTTCATTAACAAATTATCAGGTACCTACTGAATTAATGCAAACAGTTATTTTTCTCGGTTAAATAAAAATCAGAATATGGTAGTTGGCATTTATTTATTAAAAAAAAAATCATGGGGTCAAAACAATTTTTAAGAAGTATTTTTTCGCAGACCTGTGTAATAATAAAAATAATTTTACAGTAAATAGTATTATAGTTTGTATCTATGAGCAACTAACTTCACAAAATCATATTCTGACAATAGCTTATTATCTAGCTCCAAAATCTTCTGATTTAAAAACTTTTCCGCATCTCTGACTTTTTCGTTTTTACAACAATAGGGTTACCAATACTTTGAATTTTAATATAAACTAAGCATTGAAATTCAATAAGAGTTTTAACAAAAACGTGAATATTGGGGTGCGTATGGTAAAAACTTTTTGAAAAATGAGAGTGAAAGGATTCACGGGGGTTGGTTGTTAAAAATAAATTACTGGTTTTGGAAGCTCATACCGAAGGAGGAAATACAGATCTTTCCGAAATATAAAAATCAACTAAATAATCTACTAATCTTGAAAAGGCATTAGAATCAGGAATGTCCGACATAAAATTATTAATAAAACAATCGCTTACACTTTCGGGAGTGAGAAATGGTAAACCAAATAAATGTTGTATCCATTTTCCTGACTCAGTTTACAGGTTTACTATAATAATAATAATACTCTCCCTAATTCACCCCCTTACGAGTGAATTTCAACCCCTGAAGTCGACTGAACGACTTGTGTAGGGGAAGGGACGGCTATTATTATTATTTGCCGTGGCGCTCCGGGGCGACTTAAAGATGATTGATGGTGCCATTTGACACACAGGTGAGGAAAACCCGGAAAACCTCACCCACCATTTTGAACTTTTCTATACCAGCTTTGTGCTAAATCAAATCGACAACCAAAAATGTTTGCATTTGGCCAAACAGATTGCGCAGAATTATGAATGGCTTTTTCGAAATCTATCTGTTGAGGATTTAAAGAAACATTTATGGAATTTGATAACATCAGTAATTTATTAAACAGAATGGTATACGTTTTGCCTAGTTTGTTTGGAAGAAGGCAAAAAACTAAAGGAATATAATGTCCATTGCGCAACCCATGAATAGTAAATAGTTGAAAAAAGAATTTTGTACAATATTTAAATGTTCCATCCATGTAAATTGTGTCACACTGCGATAAACATTTCATATTAGATGTACAACCAAAAATTACAATATTAGTTTCAATATCATTGGCCAATAAAAATGGTTCGTTTCTATCTGTTGTTAAATCCATAATATTCAGAGCTTCTTGGACATCATGTATATTTTTGGTGTAGCTGACTTGTTGGTGTTCAATCGATTGCGATTCATATTATGCCGTATAAAGTCCAGATCCATAGTTGTTATATTTTCCTTATACGAAGACGTCGAAATCTCCATATTCATTATTTTTGATGGTCGTTGGCAAATGTCATGCACAGCCTTCCTTTTACAACTATTACTTATAGCCTGTCGACTTAGCTTTTGCAAGTTGGCTTGATGGTTGTGTTCCAAGGAATGATCCAGGACGTTTAAATCTGAAAAGACATTAGATTATTGATTTGACCATTTAAAAAGGGTTTCAATTCAAATTCAAAAAGTTGCAATTAACTTTTGGTATTCAAATACACAGTAAAAGACTCTGTCCTTAAGATCATTGATGTATCAAGAACGGATTTAAAATTTTTCTATTTGTCAAAATATCCACTGTCCATTTCTTAGTAATAAACAACCAATATAATCCACTTTCTTTAATAAATATAATGAAAATTTACTTCGAGTATGACATTTTGCTTTACACCAAATATATTATTCCATCTTTCAGGTCTTTACGTTTTCTAAATTTATTATCACTTAGAACAAGCGTTTGCTGGCCACGTTCACTTAAAACAAAATCAGTTACTAACTCCATAGGTAATATTTTTTTATCTGAACGCTAAAAGGTTTAGATAAAAACTGGTATGAGCCAATTGAGTTATTAAAGCATACATAGAACAGACTTAATTGTACGGATGTGCCGTATAAATAAGTCACCAATAGTCACCCCTTCTACCCAAGTAAGATAATGTTGTTTTGATTGGTTTTGAAAATTGTATTTTGACAAAGGTAATTAAGAATGTGTTCCAATTGGCAAATTTGAAAATAAGTACCTATCTCTAATTTAAATTGAATGTAAAACTGCTTATGATTTTAAAACCAAATTATAATATGTAAAAGCTTTTAACGGATTAATATGAATGTTTCGCATTTCGAGGTCTGAAAATTTGGTACCACAATATTACAAAAATTATGCAAAAATTTGTATTCAACAGAATAATAACATTCCGTTTGCCCGCCAATTATTTTTGTTATCTACCAATATAAAATGAAAAAAACATTACTCACAAAAATTTAATTTTATATGGGCAATTTTAATTTTTTTTACTTATTTCTGTTTTTAAATATTATTTGTTATTTTTTAAAGTATTTTCATGAGTAGATTATTAACTTATTTATTTTTAGGTTTTGATAACGACTTTGTAGCTGAAACTGATCTCATCATTTTTTCTTAACCTATTGTTGAGTGCGCATTTATAATAATATACTTCATTACGTGATAAAAAGGGATCAAAGTATCTAGGGTTTTCCCAATAAAAATTGGTTTTAAGCTTTTAATGAGTTTCTTTAAATTAGAATATTAAGGGATTATTATTACAAAGTGGTTCCAGGTCAAAGTGCTGAATTGGCCTGTCTCAAAAGGGTCGCTTTGAAGAGGTACCTGCCTGCCTGATGCTCAGTTGGCCGGTCTACATTTATTACATCTAGAGCTTGGTGCTCAATTGGCTCATACCCTTTTAAATGAATCTGCCAATAATTCTAGTTCCGCCACAGTTGAACTAAGCGCCCGAGCCCGAGAGCCAGCGCTCAGTGCTCTCTGGCAACTATCATCCCCACCACTACGACAAGTTCACACGATACAAAAACGTTGGCGCTATGCGCTGGGCTCGCTGGATCAATTTATCAATCTATATTGCGTTAACGGCGCTACAATTATTAAATATTTGTGATATCAGAAACGGTAAACTTGTAATTTTTATTTGTATACTCAAATATTTATAACTTCGATCACAATTAAATTCTGCTCCACACTACATCAAATGGTATTTTTGCAACATCCTTCGTCAATTAAGATGTTTTTTAATCCAAAAATATTTGTCAAATATTAAAATAAACAATTATTCCATTTTATCTTTATAAAACCTATAGGACGTAGCAAATAATATATCTTTAATTTTTTTACGAAAAGCCTTAACAGTTCACGACATGAAACTTAAGAAAAATGTCAGCGGCATGGCTAAAGTTTTTTCCATCCATTAAATTTTTTTTTTTTTTTCACAAAAACCAAGTTGTGTCACGCTATAAAACTCACAGTATAATAAGAATAAAATATTCTTTCAAATTCTAAGCTCAAAATTTCAGAAAAATATCGGCCTCATAGCTAAAACCATCCACCTCCACTAAATTTAATTATTTTTTTTTGAGGAAAAACTAAGTCGGGTCACACTACGAGGGACACTGCCAAGGTTCGAGGAAAATGTAAAGCAAAACACAAATTACGTTATGTAAATCGCTTTATTGCTTCCCAAAATATTCTCCTTTAAAATCTATACACTTTTGCATCCGATGAAACCAATCTTCAAAACAATTTTGCCATTCTGAGCGAGGTACCTTCAGGCGATGAAAAACGCTCGCCACGCATTTTATTTTTGATATTTCGAAATAGAAAGAAGTCATTGGGCGATAAATCAAGTGATTATGGACAATGAGTCATTAATTGGATTTTGTTACTGGTCAAAAACTCTACAGTTCGTCGTGCTGTGTGAGCGCTTGCATTGTCATGATGAAGAATGATTCGCCGGTTTATGTTGTTCCTTCTGATTTCAGCGATAACTTCCGGCAAACAAATTGAAGTATACCAGTGAGAATTAACTGTCCTTCGATCCTCTAATGCAACAGTTGCAACATGACCCGTTTTTCCGAAGAAACAAGCAATTATTCTTTTCGAAACGCTTCGTGAACGCACTTTTGTGGGTTTAGGTTCATTTTGGAACACCCATACAGTCGATTGCTGTTTAGTTTCAGGCTCATATGAATATATCCAAGATTCGTCACCTGTTACGATGTTATATACCGAATTTGAACG